GGCCATGGGCGGAGCCTCAGTAGGGGCTGGGGAGGGAGACAGGGCTCTGGTTGGCTGCCAAGCTGTCCTGGGCTCCGTTCCACTCTTGCCTCTCACTGCTCTGTGACCTAGGGTAAGCCAAGCAACCTCTCTGGTCTGGAGATTGGAAACCATAGCAGCTACCCCATCTACCTTACGGGAGCAGAGAAGGTTCAAAGAGACCAGTCCTCTGTGTTCCACATAAACATAGGGATTATTTAAACGGGTTTGAAGACCACCTCTCCCCCACCCCCACCCCGTCTTCCTCAACAGTGTTTGATCTTAAGGTGGAATAGTGACGCCCAGCAAGGGAGCCAGGGGTATCTGCACAGTGCCTGGCCACCAGGCCGTTTCCAAGGCTGTGACTTGTCACCCTGAAAGGCTGTTTGTGCCGTCGTCTGGAAGGAGTTTCACTCCTGAAGTCAGGGAGAGCAAAGTCGGTGTCCTCTCTTATTCTGACTCTGATCAGTTGGGTCGTGGTTGCCTAGACTGTTGTGTTGAGAAGGATCCCGAGGCTAAGTGTGGCCTTGGGCTTTCCCATTCTTGGGAAAGAATGCTGTGATCCAAAATAATGCTCTATTATGGGTACATATGGGTGTATATAAAATTACTTTGAAAAGATCTAGGAGACACGCATTGAGTTCACGATAGGAGTTGCTTCTGGGGAAAAGAGGAGAACACTGGTGCTGGGAGGAGTGGTTAATGTTCTAGTTTTTTTTTTTTTAACATTACTTTTGTAAAGTTAATTTTTTTTTTTTTTTGACTGTGTTGTGCTGCATATGGGATCCTAGTTGCCTAACCAGGAATCAAACCTGTGCCCCCTGCAGTGGAAGCACAGAGTCCTAACCACTGGATCACCAGGGAAGTCCTAAAGTTAATTTTATTTTATTTCCTAAAATTAATTTTAAAGCACATTAAAGGCTTAAGGGAAAAGTTCTGAGACTGATTTGCAGTGTCTACCATGAGCACGGGACATCCTGGGATCAGCACAAATGCCATGCCCTTGACTTTTTTTTTGGCCTTGCTGTGAGGCTTGTGGGGTTTTAGTTCCCCGATCAGGGATTGAACCTGCGCTCTCGGCAGTGAAAGCACAGAGTCCTAACCACTGGATGACCAGGGAATTCTCGTGCCCTTGGCTTTGATAGAAGTGAATTCTATCTGCACCCTCCCTGGACGCCTCAGTGTCTCAGGAGTGCGCAGCTCAGCACGGGGAATTCCACCCCTGACTCCTCTTTCCCTGGATGTCCCTGCTACTTCCTCACCTTCCCCAAGCTTTCACTCAGGCCTACTTCTTTTGTGGGGCTTCCCAGGTAGCTCAGTGGTAAAGAATCCACCTGCCAATGTAGGAGATACGAGTTCGATCCCTGGGTCGGGAAGATCCCCAGAGAAGGAAATGGCAATCCACTCCTGTATTCTTGCCTGGGAAACCCCGTGGACAGAGGAGCCTGGCGGGCTACAGTCCATCGGGCTGTGAGAGTGTGACATGACTGAGGGACTAAACGGCAACAACAAACCCCTTTGTTCCCACTTGCTTGGACCCAGATCTTGGGTCACCCCCATACCTGCAGCTCAGGGTCCCTTCCTGAAGTCTAGCACCTCCCCCGTGGACCCTTTGGGCTCACATAGAGCTGCACTGGAGAGCAGGGCTACCCCGCTGGCTCCAGCTGCTGTCGTGGTGACAAGGTTCCTTCCCCACCCCTCCCATGCCAGGGCTCCACCTGCTGCTACCCTGCCTCCTTGGTGCTCTTGACTCAGGGTCCTAAGCGCTCACTGTCCCCGTTCTCCAGGCTGCCAGTGGCCTGATTTCTAATCCACCGTCTCAGAGCAGCATCGCCACCCCTACATCTCCCAGAAGGAACCACGTGTCCACCTCGCCTGTCCCCTCACCCCTGTGTATTCCAGCTCACAGACAACTCTGAGATTTTCTTGACCTCAACCACTACCCTGGTTCATGGCTCCCTCCTAAACTAGTCTTCCTACCCACTGTGTCTCTCCCTTACTGTGATCCCTGCAAAGGCAACCAACTGCCCTCAGTGTAACGGCCACACTACCTAGCATGGCCTTCATGGCCTTTCAAAATGAAACAAGGGGGACGTCTCTGGCAGTCCTGTGGCTGAGATTCTATGTTCACCATGCAGGGAGCTCAGGTTCGATCCCTTGACAGGGAATTATTAATAGATCCCACATGCTGCAACTAAGAATCTCAGTGCAGCCAAATAAACTAATATTTTAAATTAAATAATAATAATAAAAAGAAACGAGGCAGTGTTTAGCATGNTCGGGTTCCTCATCTGCACACACACGCAACTATGGAATAGTACCTGCTACATAGTATATGTTTAATAAAGATTTCTTGAAGGAGTAAGGGAAGGAATTAATGCACGATACCTGCCTGATGGAGTTCTCTCAAAAGTAAATGATTTAACACGTGCAAATACCTATGGAGCCATGCCTGGCACACAGAATGGTCTGAGTGTTAAGCTATTTATGCACTTCCTCCCTGCTCTGTCCGGTCCGAGAGGAGCCCCAAGGGTCACGGTTATTGAATTGGGGGGGCAGTTTTGATTGGACTAGAGAGGACGCTGGAGGCCGAAGTCCTATCCTCCGGGGTCCTCGACTTGACTATCTTCCCCGCCCCCATCCCCAGGGGCCAACCCTCCGTTGGCAGCTAGAGGGAGCCCTCAAAGGGGCGGAGTGGGTCCCTCCCCGGGGGAGGGTGCCGGGGTGGGCAAGCTGGGGTCGCGGGAAGCGGGCGAGGGCGCCCGGACTGACAAGGAGAAATCCACCACCCTCTGGAACGCCCTCCGGCGCGACGCCAGTCCCAGGGAGGGCCCAGACACCAAACTGGTTTGTGGGTCTTGATTAGAGGCAGTGATGAAAGCTGCGGAGCCGTCGGGGCGCGGCGCCCGGCCGGTTCCGAAGGAGGCTGCTGAGCACGGGCCCTGCCAGGGGAGCTTCGGCATTTTTTTCCGAGCCACTCGAGGGACTGCGAGGCCTAGGGCAGCCGCCACACGTCTGCCTCGAACTGGGCGTTCGGGCAACCTCAGCCGTCCGGGCGTTTTTCCTCCTCTGGGCTTCGGCTGCCGGCTTCGGCTGTTCGCGCTCGGACGCGGCTACGGCAAGGCGAGCTCTATGCGCCCCCAGCCCGCGAAAAGGAGATGGGGCGCGGAGCCGAGGTTGAGGTGTTGATCAGATAGGGGGTGGAGTTCGGGTACCCAGGGGTTGGCTTCCCTCCCGCCCCAGTCCTTGCAGCCCCCGGTCTCTGAACCTCACTTTGGGAGTCCCGTGGGTGTGTGTCGAGGGTGGGCTCGCCTGGAATGCTCCTCCAGGGGTCCAAGGGCGCTGGGCCCTAACGGCGCCTCGGGGGAGCCTTACCTGAGGTCTGGGCAGGCGTCGCCGCCGGCTGGCTCCCGTTTGTTCAGATGAGGCCCCCGCGCGGGGACCGAGGCCCCCGACGCCCTGCCCCCGCGGGACTGCGCAGCTGCGGCCTCTCGGGCTCCGAGGCCCATTGATTTTTCTGTTGACTTTGGGGCTCTCATTAATCCTTCATTAATTACCCCGACGGGGGCTCCCCGGACGGCTCAGCCAATAGCGAGGCGGCTGGACCAGCGGGAGGGGCCGGAGGCGGTGCAGACGCGCGGCGCTGGGGTGGCGTGGGGTGCAATGTCCTTAGGCCAAGTAGAGGCCTTGCGGGATTCAGGCCACACTTTCCTCTGGTGGCCCGGCAGGGAAGGAGCCGTCCTCCATAGATCTGGGGTCTCTCCCCGCCCCCCCTCCCCGTACCCCACCTAGCACCAGCCTTGCCGCACCCTCTCTCTCCCTAACTCAAACGTGAACTTGGGGCGGAAGAGACCTGGTTCCGACAGGGCAGGGGGCGCCCCCTCTGGCCCTCCTCAGCTCTCCCTGCAGCCTGGAGTCCTGCCCATCTCGTTCTGCGGGCGGAGTCCTGGCAGGTTTTTCTCTAAAGTCCCCTGTGCCCCGGGCCCTGTTGCCCCCACTCTCCCCTCTAAATGCCCTCTCCTCCCACCCCAGGCCCCATCCCAACCTGACCCCTTCTCCTGACTCCGCTAGCTGCTGGCACCTGTTTTGCCATCTCTCTTTGCACCATCTGACTTTCTCGGTCTCTCCTTCTCTATCTCCCCCTCCTTCCTTTTTGGGATCATATCATTTTATTGGGGGGCTTCCAGAGAGGGTCGACGGGCTGGGAGAACAATGAGATCGCATGTCCTCTGCCCCACCTGAGTGTCCTGACTCCACAGTCACCCCATCTCTGTATCTTTTGTAGAGTAGAAGCCATAGGGCTTTGGAGAGGCGCCTCGAGGACCACAGAGAGGGCAGGCGGTGGGTGAGAGGAGGCCCCGAGGGGGTGGGGATGAGAAGCTGTGCCACCCAACCCCTGCGAAGCTAGAACAGCCAGGTTATAAACTAGGTTATACCAGCCTATGTTATAAACGTGGGTCCCTGAAATGTTTTATTTGAGGGGGAAAAAATGCTCCAATGCTTGAAAGAAAAATTTGAAAATTATTATTCTTAGTAGAAAAGTGCTGGCTTCCATTTGGTGGAACTGTGGATAAGTCACTATACCTCTGGACCTCAGGTTTCTTCTTTGTAAAATGGTAGTTGGCTTAGTCAGTCCTTCCCAACCTTTCACGTGTCATGGAACACATTAAAAAAACGGCTATGTCACTTGAGGATAAAGTGAAGAGGGAGGTGGAAGCCTGGAGACTCCACCCAGCTGCTCCCAGCCACCCAGGTACTAGTCTGTAACTTGGACTTGGCTTGCCCACAGAGATGCCTCAGACCTCAACATCTCCAGGGGTCCTTGCAGCTTTGACCCCAAGACCCCCCCTCCTGTGATCATCTTAGAGGTGAGTGCTGAGACAAGAAGTGGGGACCCAGGTGGCATAGGGCAGCATCAGGTTTATTGGTTTCCAGCTCCAGGCGGCAGCAATGGCCAGGACACCAGGCTGGGGTAGGGGTGGAACCAGAGCCAAGGACGCTTCTGGACCTTGTCTGGTCCTAGAAAGGGGTGCAGCAAGGGGCCCTCCTCCCCCAGCGGCCCCACCCCCCCAGGCTCATGCTGGGGTGAATGTGCATGTCCTGATGGTGATCTAAAAACTAATCTTGGAAAAATAACTCTTGTGAAAATGCCACTCTGGGGCCAGTGCAGGGGCCAGAATGGAGAGTATGTGGCACAGTGACTGCCAGCTTGGGGTTCATTCCTGGGGATCTCTGGGTGAGTGCATGAGCCGAGCCCCTCCTCCCGAGGTCCCGAGCGGGGCTTCAGGACATCACGTAGACCTCCAGCAGGCTGGAGACAGCATGCATGCGGTAGAAGATGCCAAAAGGCAGGCAGATGTTGACGATGGCTGCCCAGAGGGAGTAGCCGTAGAAATCCACCTCCACAGTATTGCTGAAGTGAGGGCGGGCCCCGAAGGCGGGCATGATCCACAGCTGTGGGGAGAGAGGAGGGTCAGGACCTGGCCTGGACAGGGGGCTGCAGGTCATTCTGTGGGCGGGGGACAGGATGGGGGTCCTGGTCCTCTGGTTTGTGGCTATCAAGGGCTGGGTGCTGCCGAGCGGGAGCTACAGCCCCTTAGGCAGAGCCTGGCACTCACAAGGAAACTCAGTAAATGTGCCCAACTGAGCTTGCCCACCCCCAGGCTGAGGCTCCACCCTCAGGATGGCCCACTTGTGGGATGGAGAGAGAGAAGAGGTTTCAGTAGGTGACGGGAGCATTTGGAATAAATGGTTAAACCAGCAGCTCTCCCCTGGAGAGATGCCTGTGGGCGAGGATGGTAGAAGCAGACAGGCCCAGGGCAGGGGGGGTCAGGATCCTGCCAGAAGGCTCCCCCACCCCAGCTCTCTATGAGCTCCACTCTCCAGTTCCACCCTCCGCTCCCCACCCCCTTCCCAGGTGTGGGAGGAGGTTGAAGCTGGAATCCTGCTTCATCTCTGGCTATGAACCCAGGTGGTTCAGGCGTGGGGCATGAGGCAAAGAAAAAAGGCTTCTGGGCTAGGCTGGACCCTCCCCCACTGCCAAACCGATCACATCCTTAGGCACATCACAGCCCAAATCGGACCCTGCTTCTGTCCTATAAAATGAAGGAGTTGGAGATGACACTCTAAGAGCTGATCCAGACTCAGATACCTGGAGCAAAAATGTCTTCCCAAGTGACTCTCAACCTGTAAGCTCCGCCTCCCTCGGGAGAAAGTGAGGGAGTGGCCAGGGCTGGAGGAGGTTTCGATCCTTATTGTTCTACTGTTACGTCAGAGATTGGTGACTGCTCTTTTTTTTTTTTTTTTAATAGGTTATCTGTGCTTAAGCGACTCTTTGCGACCCCCATGGACTGTAGCCTGCTAGGCTCCTCTGTCCATGGGATTTCCCAGGCAACATACTGGAGTGGGTTGCCATTTCCTGCTCCAGGGGATCTTCCCAATCCAGGGATCGAACCTCCTGCATCTCCTGCATTGGTAGGCGGATTCCTCACCACTGCACCACCTGGAAAGCCCAAGGTTACCAGTAGAAGGGGCAATATTCAAACTGGGGACTTTGCCAAGAATGCACCTCAGTTTTTCATGTAGACCCCATTGGAATGCAACCCCTCTGGAGATGTGTTCTATATTGGGGGTATACCCATTTTCCTATCTATTTAAGGCTGTTTTCTATATTAGAGGTATTTTTCTGTTAGAGGTTACAGCTAAAAGGACTAACTTTATATTGAGCAACACTTCATTGAGGTGTGTGCTCGGTGTGGGATGTATTCACAGGGGAACATATTTCTCTGTTAGAGATTTCCCTCCCAGGGGTTCCTTCTATGCTGGAGCCTTTCTCTATTGGGTTGGAGCGACACAGTAGGAGTGTTTTGCCATGAGAATGCACCTTCAGGAAGAGTGTCATACAGGATGCATATTTGTACCAGCCGATATGCAGAGGGGCTTTCTTTTGGCTCAGATCGTAAAGAATCTGCCTGTGATGCAGGAGACCGGCATTTGATCCCTGGGTTGGGAAGATCCCCTGGAGGAAGGCATGGCAGCCCACTCCAGTCTTCCTTTGCTTTCCTGGTGGCTCAGGCGGTAAAGACTACGCTTGCAGTGTGGGAGACCTGGGTTCGATCCCTGGGTTAAGAAGCCCCCCTGGAGGAAGGGATGGCAACCGACTCTAGTATTCTTGCCTGGAGAATCCCATAGACAGCCTGGCGGATCCCAGGAGTTGGACAGACTAACTGACTAACACTTTCTCTTTCTCTTAGAAAAGGGCTTTGTTGGCACCTCCTTGGAGGTCCAGTGGTTAAGACTCTGCCCTCCAAGGAAGGGGGTGTGGATTCGATCCCTGGCTGGGGAATGATGATCCCACATGCTGAACCAGTGCAACCCCCCCAAAAAAAAAATTAAATAAATAAAATAAAAAAATAAGAACGGGGCTCTGTGGACTCGCTGGGAAGGGGGCAGCTGCTGTGGGTGCTCCTCTCCTGGCCAGCCCGCCTCTGCACTCTGCTGACAGACCACTCACAAGTACACTGGTCCCTGCCACTTCCTGTCACTGCTCTGATTATTCTAAGAAGCAGGCCGGTCACAGGTTCCCAGGAGCAGTCACACCTCCCATCTTGGAGTGAGGCCCCCCCATCCCAGCTCCCTCTCACCTCCTCCCAGCTCCAATGTCAGCATCCCCTGGAACCCCTCCGGCTCCGTCCGTAGCCTTGAGGCCAGGATGCTGGCATCTCATTCTCTCTGTTTGCCCTGAGATGCTGTCTGCCCTGGGGCTGCTCCCGACCCTCCCTGAACCTGCTCCTTTTCTCGAGAGGCATAGGATGCTTCCAAGGGGGATGGGGGCAAGACAGAGAAGGCCAGGTGAAGAAACCATAAAAAGAGCATCTTTCCTTGGCTTTCTCCTCCCCGGAGCCCACCCTCGTCCCTGCCCGGCTACTCACGATGATGTTGCAGAGTAGGAGAAACAGGGAAATGTCCTTCAAGCACCGGCGTCTCCAGTGGCTCCTGGGGGCCACGATGACACTCGAAGCCTCCTGAGGTCCTGCTGGGCTGGGGCCAACCAGCCTGGGGGTGGGCGGGCAGGCGGGCAAGGTGTGGAGGGCATCCAGGTTGGCAAAGGTCAGGCCATGGCAGGGCTCCTTGGGGGCTGTGTTGTGAGGCTCAGCCCCAGGGGGGCCCCGATGGAGGCTCTCGATGATGAAGACGTTCTGGAAGGTGTGCTGAGCAATCATGAGCAGAGCGTGGGCTAGGTTGAGCGCCGCCAGCAGGTCCCTGGGGGTGCCTGCCACCACAGCCACGATGGAGTAGTAGGAGATGGCGTACTGGCCCAGGGCGGCGCCCATCAGCAGGGCTACGTCCAGGGTGCGCGTGGGGTTCTTGTGCTGGTCCATGGCCCGGCGGTCAAAGCGGTAGATGACCGAGCCACTCAGGCTGACCAGGGTCATGAGCCCCAGGCAGACGATGTTGAAGCTATAGTAGATGACCAGCGCCTGCTGGGTACGGCCCCGCTCCCCGCTCACTTGCACCTCGTAGATGATGAACACGGCCAGCCCCACCACGAAGAGCATCAGGCCCAGGACCGGGCCGGCAAAGAAGGTCTCCCGGAAGAGGCTGAGGGGGGAAGGGGCGTGGCTGTGGCCGTGCGTGGAGGAGGCGAGCAGCCTGCCCACATTCTTCCACATGACGTACAGCATGGTGGAGGCAAAGAGGCTGTACTCGATGTTGAAGGGGTACAGGTAGAAGTAGCCCTGCTGGAAGATCTGGCAGACCGCCGTGTCGCAGGAGCACTCTCCCCCGACCGCGCTGCTCGCACGCTCCACTGTGGAGAGATGGATGGCATGGAGCGGCACTGCCCTCCCGCCTTTCTGGAGGCACCCCATCTGAAGGGCTTCACCCCTGGACCGTGACCTTTGGAAGGGCAGGCTTGTTAGCTGCCACCACCATACCCCAAATGCCTACGCAGGGCCTGGCATGTTCATTCATGCCACAAGTATTTACTGAGCACCTACTATGTGCCAGAGACCATGGGGGCACATCCCTGAACAATATTCAGGGCTCAATTAAGAAAAAAAAAATCTGGGGGACTTCCCTGATGCTCTAGCAGTGAAGAAGCCGCCTTCCAATGCAGGTCCAATCCCTTGTCACGGAGCTAAGCTCTCACCTGCCTAGAGGGAACTAAGCCCAAAGGCCACAGCTAGAGACCCCGTGTGCTCTGGAGTCCCTGCACTGCCATATGAGAGGCCCAGAGCTGCAGCTAGCGAAAGTCTGTGTGCCAGAACAGACCCAGAGCAGGCAAAACAAAAGTAAATAAACACATAAGTAAATAAAGTAAAAAAAAAAATCTGAACTGCAGAACTGCCTGCTTCATCCCATCCCATTCCTGCAGAAATGCACTCCCAAACCTTCCCCACCAGTCATGACCCGCTCAAGACAGGCACGGCTCTGGTCCTAATAGAAGGTGGCCCCCTTGGCAACCCCTAAAATCCAAGCTTCCTCGCCTCTCTCTCCAGCATCTGCCTCAGCCAGAAAGCACCTGCTGTGCCCAGGTCTTGACCAGGACCTTCCGTCACTTTGGTTTGTACCGTACCTACAGAAATCTCGTCCTACATCCAGAGTGTGCTCTGCTGTGTAGGGTACCTCGGGCCTTGGTGGACATCTCTTTTGATCCCCAGAACTATCTCAGCTGGTTTTGCAGAAAAAGGAACCAAGGCTCACTGAGGGCAAGGCTCACCAAGGCTTGTGATGGCGAGTTGATACAAATGCTGTGACTCTCACCCCCGAGGCAGGTACCTCACCGGGCGCCTCTCTGTACCCCCGCAGTCCCAGCATTTTAGGTCCTCCACCTCCCTGGGCTGGTTTTAACCATCCTCAGGAGCCCTCTGTATGTGGAGGGCGGCCCTTTCTCAGTCCTGCTGGCCTGGGATCTCCTGGATCCACGCTTTCCATTCCTGGACCCTGACAGGTTGGATGTGTGTGTGTCTTCAGGTGAGGTCCAAGTAGATTTGGTCATCTAGTCTGATCCCGGCAGTGGGGAGCCCTAAAGAAGTCCAGAAAACCAGGCCCGGGGGACTGTGGGCCTGTTCTTCACCATAGCATACTGTGTGTTCAGTCGCATCCGACTCTTTGCAACCTCATTAACTGTAGCCCCTCAATCTCCTCTGTCCAGGGGATTCTCCAGGCAAGAATATTGGAGTGGGTGGCCATTTCTGTCTCCAGGCGGTCTTTCTGATGATTCAAAGCAAAGATGGGTCTTAATGCTAGTTCTCCATTGTCCAGCTCTGCGACCTTGGGCAAGTTACTTAACCTCTCTGTGCCTTAGTTTCTGCATCCGTAAAATGGGAATACTAATAGTACCCATCTCATAGGGAGGTTGCAAGGGTTAAGTAAGATGGTGTTAAAGACTCTAAGCACAGCGCCTGATGTGTAGAGCTCCGTGAATTGTCACCATCATTTTCATGGTTATTATTTCTACCTTCTCCTCCTTGTCAGACACTCTGTTCTGATCCTACACTGCCACCATTGAGCCACCCTGCTTCCCTTCTGCTCTATCCAGCTTGCTCAACCTCGCCCCTTGTTTCTGGAGCCCGAATCCCTTCTCTGGTGGAATGGAGACCCTGACAGTGGGATCAAGGCTGTACTATCCAGGATGAAAAGATGTCCCCTTCAGCCTGGATGGTAGGGATGGGAGGGGAGTCTGGAGGAGAACGGATACGTGTGTATGTATGGCTGAGTCCCTCTGCTGTCCACCTGAAACTCACAGCATAGTCTGTGAATTGGCTATGTGCGTGCGTGCTCCGTTGCATCACTCATGTCAGACCCCATGGACTGTAGCCCACCAGGTTCCTCTGTCCATGGGACTTCCCTGGCAAGAGCACTGGAGTGGGTTGCCATGCCCTCCTCCACAGGATCTTCCCAACCTGGGGCTCGAACTCAAGTCTCCTGCATCTTCTGCATTGGCAGGCAGATTCTTTACCCACTGGGCCCCCTGGGAAGCCCCGATTGGTTATAGCCCAATACAAAGTAAAAGGTTTTTAAAAGAAGGAAAAAAGATCGCCCATTACCCTTCCTCCTGGGTCACCCACATCTAAACTTCTTCAGAGGCATAGCCTGGAGCAGGAGGGGGCCTCTGGCCTCCCCCTGTGCCTCCATGCACTCTACAGGTCCACAGAGCACCCAGCCCAAGGCCTGGCCACCATGGGGCCAGGGTTACTCTGGAGTGGGCACTCACGGTCCAGAGCGAGGCGGGTGTGGCTGGTGTTGCTGTGAGAACTGCTGTGGGAGTGAGCCTGGTGCAAGGATTCATCCACCACGGCTGCCATCCAGATGGCCAGGTTGGTGGTGAGGGTGAACATGAGACCACACCTGTTCGGGGAGGAAGAGCAGAGGTCAGTGAGAGTCTGTGGCTTGTGCTGGGTCCCCAGCAAGGTGGAGAGCTGGGGGGCTATACTGGGAGATGGTGCTGAGGAGCAAGAAAGCAGGCAAGCCCCCGTGTGAGCAGAGAAGATGAGTTTGGAAGGAACACAGCCTGGCTGAGATGCCTTCCAAGAGAGAACTGGGGGTGTCCAGGGGCCACTCTGCTCCCTCCTCTAAGGGAGAGGACGTTTGTACATGACACACACCATCCTGCCAAGTACCCCCCGCCCCCACAGCACAGGGTGGTGGAAGCCGGGCTTACAAAGTGCAGAGGCCTCGACTGAAGCCCCATCTGGGGGCAGAAAGAGGACCCTCGCCCCAGGTTGGGAAGCGCCCATCTCATGCCAGGTGAGCTGAACACCTGGGCACGGGCATTGGGCCACGGGCATGCATCAGGCACTCACCGAGTCAGGTCCAGGTGGGTGTGAACACAGTCTTTAGCGGAGACCCAGAGAAAGTAAGTCTGTGTTGAGAGAGAGTGGTGGTGTCAGCTACTCCGCAGATGGGCTCGCGGTGGGAGCCCCGGACCCACGCCGGCCCTAAGTTCGGAACTCTCCGACTACGCAATCACGTTTATTTCAGCTTTACAATGTGAGATGCAGGTTTTCTCTCTTTCTATTCTGTGCAACAATTAGTACCAAATACTTCTCCGATTTTTAAAACTTTGCAAAATGTCACCAGTAAATTCTCTGTGTTTGTTTTCTGTTCCTTCGCAGGTGAAGGGAGTGGAATTTTGAGCCCAGTTATTGATTCCTGAGTGCAGGGTCAGCCTCTGGTTAGGTCTTGTCCAAGGTAAAAAGAATCTTGGGGGCTTCTCCACTCTTTTAGGAAGCATCCCCCCCCATCCTCATCCTTTGTTGCCCTGCAGGTCCTCCCCCTCACCTGGATGCCCACAAATCCTTGCTCTGGTGTTTATCAATGTTGTTTAGTCGCCAAGTCATGTCCAACTGTGACCCCACAGACTGTAGCCTGGCAGGATCCTCTGTCCATGGGATTTCCCAAGCAAGAATACTGGAGTGAGTTGCCATTTCCTTCTCCAGGGTTACTGATGTTGGGGTAACTTTATTTCCCATTTTGCCTGAGTATTCTTTAAAGTCATAAAATGTAAAATTAAAACTATATAAATGCCAAGGTCATAAGTGAATTAAATTGTAGAAACCTGGGCAGCATGGATGATGTTTCAAGAGAGGGAACCATACATGTGGTCATTCTGGGCTGAGGTCTGTTCTCAAACCAGTCCTGTCTCAGCTCAGGCAGATCTTTCCAGGGCTTATTTATGCAACAAATAAAAACTTGAACTTGTTTGAAAAATCCCATGTACAACGATACCATATTTTCTGAACAAATTCAGAACATATGGGACATGGCTGAGGCCAAACTGGCCATGCCCACAGCAGGACCCTGAGCTGAGACTGATGCCCTCTATGGGCCCCCAAGGAGGGCAGGGCAGGCTCTAGGAGACAGAGCAGCTGCCACAAGTGACACCTCCTAGGTGTTAACTACTGGCACTGCTTAAGTTGAAATGAAATCGCAGGGCGCCAAAGCAGGCACTCACATTTGGATATTACTTCATTACCAGGTGCTTCCAGATTTATGGACTCGTGATCTTCACTACAATCCCATCCCCGCCTTAATTAATTGCTCAGCGTAGAAGAGGAGTGGGGCTCAGACCTCCCGACCCCAGGCATTGGCTCCTTGCCACCACACTCAGGGACACTCCTCCCACCCACCTGGACAATGACGAACACAGCCTGGGTGAGAGGGTACAGGATCTTGATGGCTGACTGGCACTCAAGGAAACTGGAATAGTAGCCGGTCTTGAAGACATCCATGACGAGAGTGCAGATCCCAAACAGCACCAGCCCACCTGGGAGTGAGCGGTGGGGGTGGATCAGAGAGGCAGGAGAGAGGGGTTATAGATCTGAGGACCGATGGCTAAGTAATGGGATGACGGGGTGGATCCATGAGTGAATGGGGTAGGTGAGAGGATGGATGGATGGATGGATAGCTAGGTGGACAGGTGGATGTTGAATGGGTGGGTGGAAGGATGAGTATACGATTGAGTGAGTGGATGGATGGATGTCCCATTGAGCCCCCATCCCTGTGGCTGCACAGATAGATAAGGGAAAGGGCCCTAGATAGACTCTTTCAACCGCAACAATCATCTGTTCTGGGCTCTCCATCAAAGTCTCTCCCATGCTCATCCTATTTCAATTTTTAGACATGGCAAGGAAGTTCCTTTCCAGCCCTCTCCGCATCCCTTTTCCAGGACTGTTTCCCTCTTCTCCCCCAATCGCAGCCCACCTCGCCCTCAGGCACATCTAGTCCCGGGCAGTGCTGGGGTGGGGGGTGGGGGCGGTGCGGGGAGGCACACTTCTCCACAGTCTAACCGCCTCCCCCGGCACCTCGGAGCCAGATGGGGCCTGCGTGCGCGTCCCGGTAGGGGACGCCGCCGGGGCAGCGCGCCGTGCCCAGGAGGTAGAAGAGGATCCAGAGCAGAGCCAGCAGCAGCATGGTGGTGAGGAGCGCGAACACGTCCGTGTCGTACACCGCCACCTTGTTGAAGGCGCCGCCGCTGATGAGCGTGCAGGCGAGCAGCAGCACGTTCACCGCCAGCAGCACCGACAGCAGGCGGCCGCCCTTCTTCCAGACCTCGCGGGGGGCCGGCCGCGGGGCCGGCGGGCTCTCCTCGGGGTCCGAGGGCAGCTCGGTGGACATGGCAGGGGCGACTGGAGGAGGTTGGAGGGGTCACTGTGGTGGGGAGCAGACAGGACCCAGGTCAGCCTCGAGGGCCCTCCCTGCTGCATCTTATCTCTATAGTTGGGGACCGGGGTGGCGGGGGGAGTTCTTGGCCCGCGCAGAGGGTGGGGGCTGCGGGTGGTGAAGGATGCGCGCGCGGAAGCGGAAGAGAGAAGCCGACCGTGCCGGTCTCGCGCTCGACGGGGAGGGAAGGAGAGGCGGCTGCGGCCCCGTCGGACCCCGTCTAAGGTCCCCCACTCCCGAGATCCGTCGGCCGGCTGGCCCCCAGGGGCACCCACCTGACTGGGCCGGGAGCCGGCGCTGAGCTGGGGGTCAGGGGGCGGCGAGCGCGTCCTGTCTCTGATGCCGGACTGGACGGGCGCTTTATACCGGGGAGGGCAGAGTGATTTACAGCCGCGGGAGCTCAGCTCCATAAACCTCTCAGTCTCACTCACATGATCCATCTTTTTTCCGGGCTGAATTTAGGGAAGAGCGTGCGGGAGCCAGATAAGGTGAGATTTATATTTACCCGTTAAGAGGCGCCCCCTCCCCCGCCGCCCTGTCACCTGGGCGCAGCCCGGCTCGGGCGCGGCCCCGCAGTGCGGCACCCAGAGGACACCCCGCCCCGGGCGCCCACCGCGCCCTGGAGCCCCGCGATCCCAACACCCAGAGCCCAGAGAGCCGACGCTCAACAGACGCCCTAAGGGCCCGTAGGCACCCCGACGCGCCCCCAGCCCCGGCGGCCCTTACCTTTGTGCTCCTCTGTTGCCGCCCCAAGATCGGGACCCTAACGCCCCTTTCCCGGCACCCTCACCAGGACCCCTAGTCGGGTCTTCCTCTAGCCTTTCCCGCATCCCTGCTCCAGGGGATGTTGCGAGGGCGCACTTGGGTATCAAGTCCCTGGCTAGTCTTCCAGCGCCCTCTACTGGACAGCGGGGGCAGGGGGCGGCCTGGACAGCTGAGTGCGGATCGCTGACCGTCTGGGAGTCGGTCCTCATAACCTTCTTGGACCCTCTGTCCAGGGCGAGGCGGTGGGGGGCGCAGGACAGCCCTCAGACATCCCTCCCCAGTCCTTGGCCCGTTCCCTCGACGGGTAGCGACATCGGAAGCCGCCGCGCCTGGGCTCTAGTGAGGACAGACCTCGAGCTGCCCCCAGACTGGGCCTCCTGGGGCGGGACGCTGGGGTGGGCCCTCCGGCAGAGGGGCCGGCCCTGTGGACTCAGGGGCAGGGTCGCCGCCGAGCGCTCGGCAGCAGGGAGTTTAGGACCCAGGGGCAGCGCGGGGCGGCCCTCCGGGCGGCGGGCGGTCCTCCCCGCACCCTCCCCGCCGGGTGCGCGGCTCAGGTGTCGGAGTAGCGGCGGCTCTGGCGCTCCCCGTCCTCGGTCTGCGGCGGCGGGGGCTGGCGGCCCCGGCCCCTGCCCGGCCCCCTCCCCCAGCCCCATGCCGCAGCTCTAACCCCGCCGCCCTCCCCCGCAGGGGGCACGTCCCCTTGTCCCCGGCCCGCCCCGTCCAAGTCAGGCGCCATGAACGACCAGTACCACCGGGCGGCCCGGGACGGCTACCTGGAACTCCTCAAGGAGGCCACCAGGAAGGAGCTGAACGCCCCCGACGAGGATGGCATGACCCCCACCCTCTGGGCCGCCTACCACGGCAACCTGGAGTCGCTGCGCCTCATTGTGAGCCGAGGGTGAGTGCCGGCCAGGCCCCGTGGGGGAGGGCAAGAGCCTCAGGGCCCATCTGGAGCCCCTGAGACCACTGCTGCCCAACCCTATGGCATCTTCCCCCCACCTCCTCTGAGTCACCTCCTCCCCTAGGACAAGGCCCGAAGGTGGGACCTGGGAGACGGGCAGTCGTGGGATGTGGAGACAAGCTGAGACCTGTGACATTTGTGACCTGGATGTGGGACTTTGCAGGTTGGGGGTGGGGTCCATGACTGTGGTTGGGGCTTCAGAGTGAGGAGAAAGGGGGAGGGGGGCTCCTGGGTGGGTGGCACCAGGAAGCCAGAGCAAGGGCAGGAGAAGCCTGGGGAGAAGGGGCAGAAACCTCAGAAGTGGGGCTGCAGAAGGAGCCGCTCCTCACTGCCCACACCCACCCCCACCCCCAGCGGGGGCCCAAGGGGTCCTTCCCACCAGCGCCCACAGCCCCCACACACTTGTTCTCACATAGCTTGCTCCCTGCTCACTCCCGGGATTTATGGGTACTGCCCGCAGGACCAAATGTCACTCGGTTCTGCCACCCCATTAACCAGCTCCCTCTGTCCCCCTCCCCCACACAGGCTCCCTCACCCTCCCTTTGGAGTTGTCTGGGGGGATGATTGGGCATTGCATCCAAGTGTCAGGGCCAGGGAAGGGGTTTGGAAGTAGCAGTTGAGGAATGTGGTGCCCAGGGCCACTGACGTGGGCTCCCTGGGGCTGCCTGACCCTGTGAACTACTTGCCAGCCCCAGCGGTTTAACAAAGAGAAGCCAGGTTGACCCAGACACCAGGGCGGCCTGGACGGGGCAAAGGGAGGCCAGAGATGCCCCCGGAGGGTTAACATGAGAACATCTCAGGGCCTGGGAAATCATGGTGCAGGCAAAGGGGCCCAGCTGATGCCAGGCCCTGGCCTGCAGTTGGAGCATGGGGTGAGTGGGGAGCCCGCCTTTGCCCTCCCTCCACGGCTGCTCCCCGAGCCCAGCAGCAGGTGACAGCAGCCCCCAAGACTAGGAGCTGAGCCATGTTCCAAGAGGCCAAGACTGGCCCCTGTCCACGCCAAGAGGGTACACAGTGATCCTACTTGCCCCTCGGAGAAGTTCATGGGAAGAGGGGACAAGGGGGCCCCCTGAGTACACCAACCCCCCAGCTCCTTCGGAGGGCAAGGGCTGGTGCTTGATGGGGTGCGGGCCTGTTGCCCAGCAACTCATTCCCACATGCAGGACTTGAAGACCAGCAGTGGAAATGAGGAGTGGGGTGCAGGGTGGGAGGAGGAGCGGTCACACAATGAAGCGATTCTTCCTCCAGCCCTGGCAGGGTGGCCTCCTCATTAACTTGGGGCAGAGGGCCTGAGCTAGGCCCTTGAGGGAGGAGGGAGCTTGGAGGAGCCAGCGGACATGTCCCCGGAGGGAAAACAGCCTGGCATGGAGGGGCTGCATGGGTCCCTGGGACAGGCCCAAGCCAGCCTGCCTCCCGGGGCTCGTGAAGATGCAGCGGCCCCAGGACTGGACAGCAGCTGGGCCCAGGTGGCAGGCTGCCGGCCCCCTCCCCTCCCGTCCTGGCTGCCCCCACGTTCCCCTCCTGGCCCAGGCCAAGACCCAACACCTGCTCTCACACGCGGGCTTGCCAGGGCTGGCCCTGCTCCCTGCAGACGTGGCGGGTCCCGGGGACACACAGGCACGCGCTCACACACTCCCGGGGGCTCAGGCCCAGCACACGCCACTAGTACACCACCCTTGTACTGGCAGCCGCATTCACCACGCCTGTCGAGAGACCCGGACTCGGCCCTGGCCCACCACCTCTCTGGGCCAGCTCCCCGCCGGGCACCATGAATAATTCACTCCTTTCTCTCTGGGCATCAAATATTTATCCCCTGAGATTCCCAGCCCCGCGGTTCTCTTGGGGGAAGGCCCGGCCCTGGCCCCGCCTTGTCTGTCGCCCCACCCTCTGCGAGCCTGGGCTCACTCTGGGCGCCTGCGGTGGCTCCAGGCTGCGGGTCCGGGTGTCCTGGAGTCGGAGGAGCGATTTCAGGCCGTCGAGTCCCCTCTGGGGTGCCTCTGGGGGGAGCTCAACCAGGCCGGCCGCCTCCCCCGCCTGCAGCCGCCGCCTGCCGACTGTCGGCCTGAGCTTGCGAGGGCTCCTCACTCCTCCCCGCGTTTCGTCCCCGCAGGGGTGACCCGGACAAGTGCGACATCTGGGGCAACACGCCCCTGCACTTGGCGGCCTCCAATGGCCACCTGCACTGCCTCTCCTTCCTGGTGTCCTTCGGGGCCAACATCTGGTGCCTGGACAACGACTACCACACGCCGCTGGACATGGCCGCCATGAAGGGCCACATGGAATGCGTGCGCTATCTGGACTCCATCGCGGCCAAACAGAGCGGCCTCAGCCCCAAGCTGGTGGGCAAGCTGAAGGACAAGGCCTTCCGCGAGGCGGAGCGGCGCATCCGCGAGTGCGCCAAGCTGCAGCGCAAGCACCACGAGCGCATGGAGCGGCGCTACCGGCGCGAGCTGGCCGAGCGCGCCGACTCGCTCAGCTTCTCCAGCCTCACGTCCAGAACCCTGAGCGGCCGGCTGCAGCATCTGGCTCTCGCCGGCCACCTGCCCTACTCGCAGGCCACCCTGCATGGCACCGCCAAGGCGGGCCAGACCAAGATCCAGCGGAAGCTGGGGCGCCGCAAGCAGGGCGGCGAGGGCACCTTCAAGATCTCTGAGGACGGCCGCAAGAGCGTGCGCTCGCTCTCGGGCCTGCAGCTGGGCAGCGACGTGATGTTCGTGCGCCAGGGCACCTACGCCAACCCCAAGGAGTGGGGCCGCGCCCCGCTCCGGGACATGTTCCTCTCCGACGAGGACAGCGTCTCCCGTGCCACGCTGGCGGCCGAGCCTGCGCACTCGGAGGTCAGCACCGACTCCGGCCACGACTCCCTGTTTACCCGCCCGGGCCTGGGCACCATGGTGTTCCGCAGAAACTACCTGAGCAGCGGGCTGCACGGCCTGGGCCGCGAGGACGCGGCGATGGACGGCGCGGGCCCGCCGCGGGGGCGGCTGCAGAGTTCCCCCAGCCTCGACGACGACAGCCTGGGCAGTGCCAACAGCCTGCAGGACCGCAGCTGTGGGGAGGAGCTGCCCTGGGACGAGCTGGACTTGGGCCTGGACGAGGACCTGGAGCCCGAGACCAGCCCGCTGGAGACGTTCCTGGCCTCCCTGCACATGGAGGACTTCACCTCCCTCCTGCGGCAGGAGAAGATAGACCTGGAGGCGCTCATGCTCTGCTCGGACCTCGACCTCCG